AGGCAGTCTTTCAAAACATGGAGACAGGGCCCTTGGCTGGCTTAGTCAGTAGAGCATGTGACTCTTGATTTAGGGGTTGTTAAGTTCAAGCCCCAGTGGGTATAGAGATTACTTTTAAAAAAGTCTTTAAGGGGCACCTGCGTGGCTCAGTTGATTAAGCATCCAACTTCAGCTCAGGTCGTGATCTCATAGTAGTTCATGGGTTTGAGCCCTGCATCAGGCTCTGTGGTGACAGCTCAGAGCCTGGAGCCTGCTTTGGATTCTGTGTCTCCCTCTCTCTCTGCCCCTCCCCCACTCATGCTCTGTCTCTCAAAGAGAAATAAATGTTATTAAAAAAACAGTTTAAAAAAAAGACTTTGCCATATTAAAAAAAATCTTAAAAAACAAACAAACATCGAGACATACATTGTATAGACCTTGCTGGCACAGGGATACACCGGCTTCATTAGTTCTAATGTTCTAAGATAAAGACCCTATTGGAAAGTCACTTCTTAGCACCTCACTTCCCACATCTATCCAGAAGCGATATGACTAGCCTGTCTCCTTTCTAAGGATGTGGTGGAGTCAGAAGTGGATACATGTAGACATTCCTGAATGCAAAAGCTGACAGTGAAGTTCATAAGCTTTATGACATGTTCATTCATGAGTTTTGTTTGTTTGTTTTGCATTCTGATCGAATCAGGAAACGGACAGTAGTATATTTAGTAAACATTCTGGAATTCTGATGAGAAAACCAAACCACATATTGGCTTTTCAAGTTTGCAAAGAGAGAAATAGTTAAGTGGCAAAGTGCCACTGTGCCAGCTTTGCTGGAAGGAATGGTCTGATGGAAGGAAAAAAGTAAATTGTGGCAAGATGGGCCGGGTGTGCCTGCCTAAGGAGTTACAGCTGTTAGGCTTCCTGAGCTACTAGAGACCTTTGAGCCTGTGAAGTGACCTGATAAAGCAACATTTCAGGTTGGCTTTTCTGAAACAGACTCAGTTGTGGTCACTCCCTTGTTCAGAATCTTTCACTAGCTCCCAGGTACCCTCAGCAGGACTTTCCAGCCAGTGTGGCACATGTGGGCAATAGATGTGTCAAAATGGTGATTTCTTTAGCCATTGAGGCCCCTGAGTGGGGCCTGGAGCAGCCAGACCCCTGGGTCAGCTTTTCCAGCCCTAAGCAGGTTGTAAGGATCTCATGTTCTGTGTAAGAAATGACATGGAAAATGGTTGGAAAGCACCTCTTTTGCACAGATACGAGCCCTTCCTGATCCATTCCCTGCTCACGTCCTGACATTTGCCCCAAAGCACTCTGTTTCCACCATCCATTGCCTTTGTCTGTGTTTCTTTGATGTCCTCCTCATGTCTGGCTGGCTTGCTCCTATCCCAGGCTGACCGAGGGCCCCCTCCTGGGCCCCCGTAATGAACAGTGCACATTCTCAGTGTTCGCAGTCCTCATCTTGAATCATGATGCTTTATGTGTCTTCCACAGATGGGCATGGCCGAGACTAAACGTTCTCCATCCAGTAACTGTATGTTGAATTAATATTTTGAATAAAAACCATGAAATTGGGAAAGGTAGGGAAGAAAACCATGCACAAGTCTATTTCAGTCGTTTGCACAAAATAGATGCTCAATATATAACTACTGAATGAGTGAGTAAAGGAAGAGATGCAAAAGCTGTTTTAAATGTAGCATCTGTGAGCCGCTGCAATGGTCCAAACACAAGAAAGGAGAAGGAATAGTTCAAGATATTTCAGGGCACATGGCACCATCAACACAGTGATCCTTGTACAGTTTTGGAGGCTGGACCCCAGCTAGACTCTCAGCCATGTGCCCAACAACTTGAGATTAGGATGTTTATTGCAGCATTGTTTATCATAGGAGAAACAAAGGAAGCAGCCAGAATGTCATTCAGTCAGGAAATGCATAAATAACTTGTGGTATATTTTTACAATGAGTGAAGTGATTGCAGTGAATAGACTAGACATTAAGATCTTAACATAGTTTAGATTAAAGACGTAATATTAAGTTTTAAAGATGTAACACTGGGTGAAAAGGTAAATGAGAATTGAAGGTAGACAACTATGAAATACTCTAAAAGCACTATGTATTGCTAGTTAATATATGCACAGAGAATAAAACTGTAAAAGCATGCATGGAAATGAAACCCCACCACCTCAGGATAGTGGTTACCCTTGGGAAAGGGAGAGCCAGAGTGAGATGAAGGGGCTTTTGATTTATCCGTAATGTTTTATTATTCACAGCAAATGTGGCAATATATTAGCATTTATTAAATTGGGGTGGTAGGTATTTGTCATATTAGTTTCTAGACTTTTCTGGTGGTTTGAAATAGTTCATGCTTTTAAAAATTAACATCACATAAAAGACTAAGTAGGAGAATAATCCCACACTTCTGCATTTAGTCTTCTGGTCTGGACACTTGCGTCTTTTCACCTAGTCTGGCAAACGAGGCAGAATCACATTGGCCACAGAGGACTTGCCAAGTCTTAATACCCATTACAAAGCTTTAGGTCTCAGGTCAGTCCCCTGAGACAGATAGATCTCCCATGACATCTCTAGAGGCTTCAAAATGGGCATTAATATCTTCTATCATTGTTTATAGCTTCCCCTCCCTTCCCATTTTTTCTGTATATTAGAGCATCTATCCAACCTAATTAGAATTAGTTTCTGCAGTAAGATTTAATGAAATTCTTTTTATGTGTTTGGGATCTATTTTCCTGACTATCACTATATTCTCTTGGTTTGTAACTTCGTAAATTTTTCTTTTCTTTCTCTCCAAAAGGAGCAAATAATATGCTTATGGTGAATTTTACTATTTCTGAAATTGCTTCTATGGCACAGTTTCCGCAGTATGCTAGAGCTAGCCTGCACCGACTGGCGAGGATCAGTGCATGTCTTCCCAACGAGGTATTCAGTGAGATCACTTTGGTAGCTTGAAATCAGCCACGATGGGAGTATTTACACCATAGGAATCAACAAATGCTAGAAATCACATTTTTTTTTCCTCCCGGGAGCTTGTGGCTAAACATTTACCAGCCTACTATGAATGGATATAACAGCTTTCTGAGTCATACAGGGCAAGTAGCATTTTTCTCGTTCTACACACATAGAAACCAAAAGTCATAAAAGGGGAAAAGTCTTGGCCCCAATCACTGGGCTCCAGTGCTGAGGCTCTGGTCTGTGTGGTGTAGACGAAGGAGCAATGGCTTTGGAGCCAGGCAGATCTGAGTTTGGGCCTGCTGTCGCTTCTCTGGTACCTTGAATTGTTCCAGTATCTGGCTTAGGTCCTCAGTTTCCCTGCCTAAAAAAATAAGGATGACCATATCTAACCTGTAGTGATCTTGGGAGCAATAAGGGAAAAGATATTGGAAAAACCAAGCAAACCACAAAAGAGATGTGCAAAGGATGTAATTTGACCTTTTGGCTTAACAAGTTCAGATCTGTATTACGCCATTATTACCGCTACTGTTATATATATTTTTTATTTTGTCTTTACCTGACCAAACACCTTTGACTAAATGGTGACTTTACTTTTTTTCTGCAAATACATGCCACTGGAATAGGTTTTTAAAAATTTCTCAGAGTTGACATTTATGTGTGATTTGGGGAATCAGGTTCTTTCCCAAACTCTTAGAAATGTATGTACTAGGTATCAGCTCAGATCATTTGTCAACTGCCTGGAGTTTTCTCCACTGACGATTCTGCTGAGCTAAGCATCCTGAGCAGGATTGATTTGGGGGCCCATGGGTGCTACAGTTCCATCCACCAAATTAACTGCAGTGGCCTGCAGGGAAATTCTCTTGGCTCCCCATGCGCTCTGTGCATTTTTGATATGCTCTAACCATAACCAACCCGGTAAGTAGACAGCTGTTTCTGAGTCATTCAGCAAAACCAATGTGCTTTTCTTTTCTTTTTTTTTTTTAATTTTTTTTTAATGTTTTATTTATTTTTAGGAGAGAGAGAGAGACAGCGTGAGCAGGGGAGGGTCAGAGAGAGAGGGAGTCACAGGCTGAAACAGGCTCCAGGCTCTGAGCTGGCAGTCAGCACAGAGCCCGATGCGGGGCTCGAACCCACGAACCACGAGATCATGACCTAAGCGAAAGTCGGACGCTTAACCGACTAAGCCACCCAGGCGCCCCCCAATGTGCTTTTCTTTTTAGGCTTTTACTAGTTAATTTTTGCCTGAGTAATAAATGTAGTTGTTTTAACACTTAAAAAAAAATAAAAGAAGTGTGTACAATGGCAGTTTGTCTCACTACACAATCCCCCAGTGACCCAGGTCCCTCCCCATAAAAACTAACAAACGAAAAATGAAGCACATCTTAAAGACCAAGCGTCAGCACCACCTTCATAGATTGCACCTGTGTTGGTCGTAGGGACCAGAGAAGACTTCGGAAATCAGGAACACTGAAGCAAGTTCCTGTGGCTTGTCAATAAATTGAAAGCAATTCGGCCAGACTTGCCTAGAATAAAGTCAAAGGGGAGCTGCTTTGTGTCTGTAAAGATAAATGTTAGATTTTAGAAAAGTCCTTCCATCAGCTAAACCTAGGAAGGTTGTCCTGTCTCTGGGGAAAAAAACACAGGGAAGAACCAAATGCTTCTTGGGAGTGCAGTACGTGATCAGGTGCAGTACGAGGTTCTTTTTAAAATTAGCGTGGCAGAATCTGCATACCATAAATGCACTATTTTAATTGGCTTTAAGTGTGCAGTTCAGAAGCATTAAGTACATTCACATCATGCCACTGTCTCCATCCCCTCTCCAGAAAGTGTGAGGTTCTTCTGCCCGTCTCTCTTAGTGTCGGCCACAGCCTTTGATGCTATTGTAATGTTCTCCATACAATGAAGATGTTTCAGAGAGAATGTTCGAAGTCTCATCCTGAGTTACTGGCAGAGCCTGGAATTGAACCCAGGTACGTTAGTCTCCAAGATGTGGACAGGTGTGTCTGGCTCTCTGACTGTTTCTTTTTCCCTCCTCCATCCTATGTTGTCGCCCAGGGGTGATCCTGCTGCTTCTGGACAAACTACGGAAGATGAAATGGGAGCAGATGTGGCGGCTGACCGCAGAGAGGGAGCTGATGGGCATGCTGTCCACGTCCTTAGCGGACCAGGTGAGGGGCCAGGGTAGAAGGCACAGTTGTTCCTGAGCACCCTTGTGCTGTTTCTCCAAGAAGCTTGAAAGTAGATGGGTCTGAGTTGTTTCTCCGCCTGTTGTGTGACTGTACACTAACATAGATCCACCTTGTGCTTGCCAGAGTCTCAGACAGCAGCTGAACTTGTTAGTTTGTTCCCCGTTGCTCATTCATTTGTTCCTCCAGCAGACCTTCACTGCATGCTGCATACGCCAAGGACGATGTTCAGAAATAGGATTGGAGAGTTAAATAAAGGATGTCGTCCTGGGCCTCAGAGAGCTTGTAGCTTATTAAAGGAGGCTGATAAAGAGGTGATAATGTGAGGCATTAAGAGAGGTCGCTGTCATCATTTTGGTGTGGGGTGCATAGAACCACGGTATATTTCCCAGATAAGATTTCATTTGCTTTTTTGGCACATAGGGTCTAATTTGATTTTATTTAATTTATTTAATTTAATTTATTTTATCTTATCTTTATTTTATTTTTAAATTTATAGCCATTTTATTATGAACTATGTAAAACTATTTTCTTTTCTTTTTTTCTTAAATAGTTTATTGTCAAGTTGGTTTCCATATAACACCCAGTGCTCATCCCCACAATTGCCCTCCTCCATGCCCATCACCCCATATGGTATCATTAAAAGCACAGCCTTTCACTTAGATCCCACACTGTGACCCAAGCCTCAAGGGAAATGCATTTAAAAAGAAGAGACAAACAGCTTGTCTTGAATAACCAACTTCTTTTTTTTTTTTTTTAATATTTTTTATTTATTTCTAGGAGAGAGAGAGAGACAGCGTGGGGGGGGGGGGCGGATAGACAGGGGGTCACACACTCTGAAACAGGCTCCAGGCTCTGAGCTGGCAGTCAGCACAGAGCCCGACGCGGGGCTCGAACCCACAAACCGCAAGATCATGACCTAAGCGAAAGTCGGACGCTTAACCGACTAAGCCACCCAGGCGCCCCTTGAATAACCAACTTCTAATCCAGGCGGTCTGGAAAAGTCTAAGAACCTCACCAAACCATTAACGTGAATTCATAAAAATCCCCTCTGTAGTTTTTTGCTAGGAAATGCAGGTGCCGAGCCTTTGCCGAGCCTTTGACCTTGACTCTACCAGGCTCACACATCTAGACTTTGAGTTCCCTGTAGTATAGACGGCCATGTTGAAATGGAGAGAAAACTTCTCTGGGTTCTCTGCATTTTATCCTTTACTCTTCGTCCAAAAGCAAGTGCAGTCCCATGTTTTTGCCCAGTGTTTAACTGTCTGAGTCACTGAGTTTCTGTAAAGTTTTCTAAAACAGAGGAAACAAGAAACTCTGTAGAGTGACTTTACTTTTTTTTTTTAGCATTGTTATTATTCAGTATTTCCCAAGCAGCCAGAAACTAATTTCCTTTTTCAAACATGGGATCTGGTATAATGAATGAGTTAAAAATTACCCAGGTAGCTATTTTAAACCTGAGGGGAAAATTGTCCTTCATCATCATATTTTATGTCAGGTCACAATGACTCAAGCATGTCCCCACAAGCTAGCGGTTGCATATCCATGTCCGATGAGGATAGTTTATCCAGCCATCTCCTTCTGCAAAGGCACATAATTCACCCCCCGGCACCACCTGTCAGCAGCTAGTTAATAAGTGTGGCCTGGTGCAACAAGAGCTTGGAGAAAAGCCCAAAAGAAGGAAAACTCCCTAGAAAAGTCAGAGTCGGAATGGGAGGTGGGGAGTGTGTTCTTGGGCACCATGGCGTGCAGGAATCCAAGGCGCATCCATCACCGAGTCCGCCAAAAGCCCCAGGACGAGCTGCTGAAACAGGGTCTGTAATTTGTCTCAGCCCCTGAATGGGCGGAGCAACTTGTTACCATGCAGGTTCCTCTCCAGGAGGCCTGGGATGGAGGACACAGGGCTCCTGGACGAGGTGGGAAGGGGGCAGAGAAGTGACTTCACTTAATGTATGCTGACTCGGGTACGAAAGACCTGCTGTGTCTGCTCCCATGTCCACGCGCCGGATGGCGCCTCATGGCCGGCAGAGCCCATGGCCTTCCCACCCACGTGGGGCGTTCCCCCCACCCCCATCCCCATCCAAACACCGCTGCTCGGTTCTAGAGCTGCTAAGAGAGGCCGGAGGAACGCCCTGCAGCACGAGCCAGCCCGCGCTTAGAGCAGGAGCCTCAAGAGAGGCCTTGACACTGCGGGTGCTGCGCCCTGTGAGCTGGCCTCCTACGTGAAACGCACCTGACTGGTCTGTGTCTGGCTTTTATCTCCCAGGATATTTTCAACGCTGTCATCAAACAGAACCCCTTCCTCGTGTATCAGCTCCCCTGCTTCTGGAACGTGCAGCTTTCGGACCATACCCGCTCCGAGCAGTGCTACAGGGACGTGTCTGATCTAAAGGTAGAGGAGGGACAGGTTGCACTGGATACGGGCACACGCCCGGGGGTGGAGGGGGTGTCCTGTGGTGGCAGCAGACAGAAGCCGGAGGGGGTGCTTTTTGGGGGGATGAATGGCTCTGAGCTCTGTGTGCAGTGTGGCGAGAGAGATAAGGATGCAGAAGAACAGGAAGAATGTGCTTTTCTCCTTTGTTTTCTCTTTTTCTCTTGTTTGGGCTTTCTGGAAAGCGTAGGAACCAGCTTACATGGTTATTCTTCTTGCCACCTGCTGCTGGCGGTTTTGGTTCCTGTCAGCTCCCCAAATCCAGTCATTTAATTCCAACAAAAACATTTATTGAGGGACTACTCTGTGCCAGGTGCCATAGATATGGATGGGGGTAACTTACATTCTACTTTCAAGTCATTCATGGCTAGAGGAGAGACACATGTGAGGAAATGAATATAAAAATGCATGCCAGGTGCTGTGGGGGGAAGAATGGGGGGCAAGGACAGCAGCACAAATGTCTCATTCTACCTCAGGCAGCAGTGACAGTGACAGAAAGGCTTTCAGCATTGGTCTCTGGGTACTGGACATAGTGGTAGGACCTGGACATAGAAAGAGGAATCCAGAGGGTGCTTTCGGTGACCAACTTGAACAATGGAAACCCAAGTGAGGTAGAAGGGCCCGCAGTGACCCCAAAACCCCCTGGCCAAATACAAACAGGCCCATCAGGCGACTCACCTCAAAATATCCCTAAGTCCCAGCTGACCAATGGGATACTGACATCCGGACACAGTTACCAGGAAAGGACAATCCCATACTCCCCATACCTCATCTTCCCCCTTTAACTACAGCCCCCCACGACCGCCATGGAGAATATGGTCTCTGCTTTGCAGTCTTGCCAGCACTCCTTTGCAGTGTCTTCAGTAAACTTCTGTCTCCTTTGTCCTGCCTTGGGTGAATTCTTTTCACTGTCCACACAGCCAGCTTCCACCTAATTGAGTTGTCCCACATTTGGTGCCCCCCCATCTAATTGGGAGACCCCACATTTGGTGGCCTGTATGGGGATCCCTTGTGTGTCCCCCCCACACGATGAAGAAATGGGGTATATGAGTTACCTGGTGCCATAGTTAATGCTGCAGAACAGGCTAGTCTAAAGTGGTTTAAATCAACAAGCTTTTATTTAGTTGAGGAGTCTGCAGACTGCCGGGATGATTGTCTGATTTTCTCTGGCTTAACCAATGTCTGTGATCAGTGTTGGATCTGGTGGCTGGTGGCTGGGATGACCTGGCCCTCCTCCAGTGTCTGCCGTGTCCCATGAGCAAGCCAGTCTGGCTTGTCATAGCAAAGCAGACGTGGGAGAGGAAGTCTTAGTGTTTGCAAGGAAAGCTTGAGTCCTTGCTGCTGATATCCTGTTGGCCCAAGTACTCATATGGCTGAGCTGAGCTGAAGGGTATGTCAGAATTTCCTACCTGCAGAGGGGGAAGGGAAGAACCAACCTCATCTGGTAAGTGACTGAACAAGAACTTGAACCCAGGCCTGCCTGACAGCAGGTGTTTACCTCTCTGGCTGGAAGTAGACTCCTGTAACCATAGACAGTTCATGCCATTTAAAATGTATAGCCATTGCCCACATTATTACACTGCAGTAACAATAGTTTCAAGTTTTTACTTTTTTTTTTTTAACATTTATTTATTTTTGAGAGAGAGAGATAGAACATGACCAGGGGAGGGGCAGAGAGAAGGGGAGACACAGAATCCAAAGCAGGCCCCAGGCTCTGAGCTGTCAGCACAGAGCCAGACACAGGGCTCGAACTCATGAACCATGAGATCATGACCTGGGCCAAAGTTGGATGCTTAAGTGACTGGCCACCCAGGCGCCCCTCAAGTTTTTAAAGGGGAAAAGGAACCCAAACCTGGCTTTCCTAAAAAAATAAATCTTTTCCAAGTATCTTCTGGCCCTTGTCCACAGGTATGTGTTATATGTATCTCATTGATAATCGTCATGCACATAGAATTTTGTTCTCTTCTGTTGCTGAGCCATTCCTGTTATTTTAGTTGTTTTCAAATTTTCACAAATATAAACTGTGTTGTAATGAACAGTCGAAAGTTCACTCCTTTTCAGGAGTGAAATCACATAGTCAAGAAGAAAGAACTGGTTTTTGTGTTTTTACTGCTCTTGAAGTTCATTGCAAAATCTTAGAAAGTATTTAAAACAGAAGTACCTCCATCATTGATTCTTTCAACCAACTTTTATACAGTTTTTTCACCATATCATGTGTTTCATAGACACAAAAAAATATATATGAACTACTCAGGAATATTTCTAAGAGTGTCATGAACTAGAAGTTTAAAAGAGAAAGAAAATAAAACCAGCCCTGTAAGAATACCAAGAAATACTGGATAAATATTTTTTTTAATGATTTGAAAGCTTAATAGATCCGTCCATAAGTAAATGAAGTAAGCAAAGGCCAGAAACATGATAAAATATGGATCCAAAAGGATAAGCAAAAAACAGCTAGTTCTGACATTTGCTGGGTACCTGCTGATCCTTGATAGCTGGAGGCCTGGCTTAAATGTAGGTAACCTTATAAGTTAAACAAAGGAATGCTATTATTAGTTACACTGGGACATTAGGCCTGAATCAAAGTCAAGCAAACTGATGTATAACCATTCTGTTGAAAGCCTGCGGTTGGAATTTGGGTCTCAACCCCCAAGAAAGACAATTGAAAGATCCTTGCTGAAGTCAAGATCCAGGAAAAGTGATATTCTCAATGGATAACAAGTTTAAAAATATCCATAAAAGAAGATGATAGGGATTGTTAGATGTTTTATCCTAGTCTTTAGGTAAAATAAGAGAGAAATGTTTCCCACGGGAATCTCTCATTTCAAACTTGTGCTCATATTAATTAAGGGGCTAAAATTATATGTGTGGGTAGAAATAGAAAAAAATGGAAAATGTGCCAGGCACCTGGCATAAATAAGCAGAAATCTAATCTAGAAGAATCCTCTCAAAAACAAGAAATACTTCAAAGAATTCTTTAGGTGCTGTTTTAAGAAAAATGAGTTCTCATTCAGTAATCGCCAAACACATAGGGAAGCCAGTTACCATGAGGAAGGGCAGGGATTATGGACTAATCTCAAAAACTTCAGGTAGTAGACTCATCAGGTATAAAACAGAAGAATTGTCATTACGTGTAAGTAATAAAAGAGAATTAATAGGATGGAGTAACAAGAGATTCTTGAATGCGAACAGATCTGTTTGGATCAAACAGTACTTTTGGAAGTGAAAAATAGAATTATTGAGTTTATAAAGTAAAGGAATGTGTTAAGCAGTAAATTAGACCCAGGTAAAGAGAGAATTAGTAAACTGGAAGAGAGAGCTGAAGAAATCTTCCAAAACCGAGCACACAGGGAAAAAGAAAAACTGAGAGAGAAATTAAGATATCCAGATATGTCTAGTTAGAATGTCAGGAGGAGATAATAGAGAAAATTGGAAGTGAGGCATCTTTATAGTGAACGGGAATTTTCCAGAACTCTTAAAAGTAACCATAGATGCCAGCAGTTTAAATGAAGAGAAAGCTGTACTTAGACCTATGGTAGTAAAATTGCAGCAACCAAATGTGATTTTTTTAAATAACCAGAGAGAGGAAAAAAAAAAGATTCTCTATGAAGACATTATGGGTGGGAGGAGAGTCCCTATCAGCAGCAGTGCAAGCCGGAGGAGTGGAAGTAATACCTTCAGTGTGCGAGGTTACAATAACAATATGTGTACCTGGCAAAATGAATATTCAGATGAGCAAAAGCAAAGAGAATTTTCCACAAACATACCTCTGTGAAAAAAACTTCTAAAGGATTTATTTCAGGAATAAGGTATATGATTCCAGATCCAAGAAGGAATGCTGAACAAATTAGAAATATGTAGGAATTTCTATCAAAAATTTCTAAATATTAGGTATAGGAGGAGTAGTAATAATATTGTGTAACTGTAGTCTTATAAAGGTTATACCTAAAATATCAGACAGTGACATCACTTAAGTCAGGAGGGAAGTGATGAGAATTCAGGTGTTCTGGAATCAGAGTTTGGTTGGGGAAGGGAATGAGATAATAATTTTAGCTGCTAAGTAGCTGTGTGTGTTAACCTTTCAAGCCGAATCTCTGAAAGAATGGGGGGCAAATGTGCGTTACTTACAAACCTATGATGGGTAGGTTGGTAAATGGAATAGGAAAAACCAAAATGAACAACCAAAAATCTCTATCATTTAAAAAAAAATGACAACATAGAGAAAGTGGGGGGAATAGAAAGCAAGAAATCAGATAATAGAAAGAAGTACAAATATATCAGTAAGTAAATAAGCAACCTAAATTTGGGAATGCAAGACCAATTGTCAGACACAACAGGAAATGGTGTACAACATATGCTGTTTATAAAAGACATACCTAACATGTACCAACCTGAACAGTTGACGATGGAGAAAGAATACCAAGATAACCATCTTGGCATCAGATGGAGCATTGGTAGGTGTAGATATGGTCACAACTTAAAAATTAAAGTTCACCAAGAAGATATAGGAACTCTAGACTTGTATACATTTCATACAGTGGCCTATATATACATGAAGTGAACAAAATCCTACATATGTAGAATTTACCAAAACTGACTTAAGGAAAAAATATAAATTCTGGATTATCTTCTAGCCATTAAACCCTCTTAAGAAGTAAACAGCATCCCTAGATGATGAATAGAGATTAAGTTATACCAATTTTTTTAAATCAAAAGATAATTCCCATTTTAAGTAAATTTCCAGAGAATAGATAAAAGGAATACTTTTTAACCCACTTAAATAAGGCCACGATATCCTCGATACCAAAATCAGACAAGGAGAGCACAAGAAAGGAAGACTGTAGGCCTGTTACACTCATGAATATTTAGATGCATAAACCTTAAGCAAAATATTAGCAAACTGAATTCAGCCATGTAGAAAATAGATAATACATCATGGCCAACTTGGCTTTATTTCAGGA